CAGCTCGAGAATTCAATTGTTATCCCAACCAGTTGATATCAATTTAATTCCTAAGAGTTATGTACTTGTTTTGAGTATCTAATGTAGAAGTTATAATCAAGTTCATGTACGAAACGGTCTAAATGAATGATATACTGAACGGATGTCCTCTTGATATATGTAACTCTTTGTAACTGACTGAATATATATATTTTGTATTCTGATAACCATCTCGATAAGATCTGTTAGGTTTACATGCATATTCTATGTATTAATAAATGTATCCTCATGTATTAGTACCTGTGTGTGTGCGTTGTTTGAGCTATACTGCAAGGTTGGGAAATGGGTAGTGTGTTATAGGCTATAGTGGAGAGATTATTTAAATATAAAGTATACTCCCTCTACAACCCTGCCACACATTCCAACACATGACTTACATATCCTTCCCTTATCCTTATCCTTACATAACTTATATATCCTTCCCTCTCTGCCAACTTCAACCTATCAGCAGTTTCCTGTTTATCCTCCATTAAGGATGGGGGGTTCTGACAGCCTTATCCTCACAGTAATGTAGTCATTCTGTACAACCAGAAGCGTTTTGCAAATAAATCTCAATAATTCAGATTTCTCTTATTCTCCATCTTCTTAATCAGGGTTTTTCCAAACTGCTAAAAGACGTAAAGAGCAGGAAACTGAGACACTGTGAAAACAGAAGTGGAATTGTCCAAACTCTATATAATATTAAATTAAAAACACATACAGTTTTGAAAACAAGTTTATACATTGTGTCAGTGAAATGCACCTCTGAAATGTCATTTATTAGAGATGCACTTTTCCTGTAGAGATATGAATTACAGTTCAGAAATGCTTTAAAAAAAACCCACAACCAAATACACAAAAAAGTACACTAATGCCTGACAAATTACTGTAATCACAGACAAATCCCAATAAGTCTGTACTGGGAATTTTATATTAATGTGATCTAACTTTTTCTAGGCTTAAAATTACATATATCAATTATGTATTTGTAGGTTACATATGTGAAAAACAATAGACCTTACAAGGTACAGTATCAAAAAGAGAAGGAAAAACTGACACCAGATTTTCAGATTTTGTGTAGAATTTCTAATCTGGTAGACTATTGTTATTTCAGATTTGTTTTGCCCACAATAAGCATTTTGTTTTCAACAACAAAATACAGTGACATGAAGTCCAAATGAGCACTGAGAAAGGGGAAGGATAATGCTGATCTTCCAGGAGTACTGTGCTTACTCATGTCTTCCGTTGTCAGAATTCCTTTTGGTTTTCATATGTTGTTTCTTAAAATTTGGAAATTACAAGCAATTTCATGCTTAATATGCTCCACTATCCAATGTGAATAGATAGCTGAGATCCAGGAACGTGAATGAGAGGCAGCTGATTCAGGGAACCCACAGAGGTCACAATAAATGATAAACT